TTCCATAATGGAAAAATATTGGATCATTGTCGTCAGTCTGGCCTGTGTAACAAGCAGTTGTCAGTTGTGAAGTCTTGCAGCACATAAGTATCCTGTCAGATGATTAACCCGTACGGTATCTCCCTCTGCAGTCTAGATACAAGGGCAAAATAAAGAGAAGTATATTAAAATATTTAATGGTTATGTTCTTTCATTTAACATATGCAAAGAAAATATTGGTACATTTAAAAAGTACTTGTATAAAAATTCATGTATGCATTTAAAGTATACCAATGTTCCTCATTTTCAAAGAACATAAGACACATTACTTTGTTATTAAAATGAAAAATAGCAATAATTATGAATTCTACAGTCTTATTATATTAGCAATGTTTTCTTGATATAACCAATGTTAGACTAAAATTATTGGAATGTTACTTCAGCTATTCATATATATGTAATGCTATTAAAGTCAAAGATTTTAACTACATTGTTATTATTAAGATTAAATAGCTGAATTAATTTTTAGCCTGGCATGCCATAAGCAACCTCTATGCTGCAAGATAAGATGCTGAAATTTAGTTTGTCTAAATCTTCATATACAGATTTTTCAAAGTAAGAGATAATTTATGGTTATACAATTCTTTTGAAACAATAATGGTCCCTCTTTCTTTTGACGATTTTATTTGTTACATAAAATAAGATTTAAAAATTATAAAGTTTGACAGAAATTTTTACCATCTTTATAACTTTAAAGGTAGCATAGGAATAGGAATGTAATTTTGCAAACAGCAAAATCATTATTTTTGTTCTTTAAACCCACTAAACTATGAAAACCAGAATTTTACTGAGGATCTTCTCAGCAGAAACCAAAGAAATAATCTGATTGTTAGGAAATACACAGAGTGAGCCCTCTGTGTAAGAAATATGCAAAGCAAGGTCTTCAATGAGGTTAAAAACTTCCTCTTTATGTATAGAATGCACACAAGGGCATTTTATTCCCAGATTAGATAAATTTTAGGAAGGACTGTTTTTATATCAACTCATTTCTGATCATTTCTCATACACTTACATTCTAAATGAAACTCATAGTAAACAAAAGAACACGTGACACAGAAACTGTGAAGAAGGTTTAAACAAAACCAAATGCCACCACCAGCAAATCAAGAGTTGCCTACGTCGGCTAGTTTTGAACCGGTGGTCCCATAGCCTTCTTGGTTTTTGAACTCACTCTTTACCTGTTGCAGCTTCCCAAGTGTTCTTATTACAAGGGTATAGCACTAGGTCCAGAGGAAGGGTAGCTTCTTGTGGGTTTTTAACCTCTCAATGTAAAAAATTAGTTTCCTTATTTTCTTTTTTTAATTTATAAAAGTTTAATAATTTATAAAAGTTTCCATTTCCGTCCCTCCTTCCAACACCTTCCCACTCCCCCCACTCCCTCTCCTCCTCCCTTTCCATCCCTAAGAGCAGTCAGGGTTTCCTGCCCTGTGGGAAGTTCAAGTTCCTCCCCACTTCCTCCAGGTCCAGGAAGGTGAGCATCCAAACAGACTGGATCCCAAAAATCTAGTATATGCAGAGGAAACAAGTCTCCGTGTCATTGTCAATGGCTTTTCAGAAAGACCCCGTGCCAGCCACATTCAGAGAATCTGGCCACATTCAGAGAATCTGGTTGGATCACGTGCTCATTCAGTCCCAGTCGAACTGGCCTTGGTGAACTCTCATTAGATCAGTCCCCTTGTATCAGTGGGTGAATGCACTCCTCACGGTCCTGCCTATCTTTTTCATGTTCTCCCTCCTTCTGCTCCCCATTTAGACCTTGGGGGCTCAGTCCAGTGCTCCAATGTGGGTCTCTGTTCAAATTAAAAACCACACAAATAATAAAATAGGTAGCAATGAATAATGATAAGAAGTTTTTCACAGCATTAGCACTGACTTCATAGGCACTTGTCTCGTTATACAGTTGTATCAACCTGAATTCCTGGAAGTTATCCAAACAGAGATTTCTCCCATTGCCTATGAAGTCAGTGCTGATGCCTTTATGGCATCTACAGAATCTTTTCTCATCTATACTGAAGTAAAATCAAGTCTCAGTTGCTTTCACTAAACCCAGATTGACCTAATGCAGATATAACAGCAATATGACTAATGAATTTGAGCTTTCATGAACATCTTAGATGTTATGAGAAAAGAAAATATCAGCATAAAGATTTTGTAGAAAAGTCCAATGCACTCAAATTCTTTTTGAGACTTACAATGCTCTGTGTATTGGCCTTACAATCAATAATACATGTCCAACTAAAAATTAGAATGTTCTGTTATGACATCCATTTACTTAGACTTTTAAAGCCCTTGTAACAGTACAAGAAAAGGGGGTATTTTTATAATGCCACTAACGATATTAAATTAAAAGAAAAACAAACAATTTTTCTTTTATGAAATGTAATTTTTTCTAAGCTTGTGGCAAATGGGCACAAAGAAACAAGAAATTTGTTATGTGTATTTTTTAAGGAAATCCCTAGGAAGCATTTTAAGTACAGCCACATATGAGCATGAAGAAATGAGACTGAAAATGAAGAGGAAGGCTATTCCTGGTGTCTTCAGGTCATCTTGCTATTTATTTTTCAGAGGAATTATTTTTACCTTTACAGATAAAGGCAGGGTCACTGATAAGGCCCTCAACTGAGGGAGTTTGTCCTAGACAAGTGTTCTCCAACTGATACAGGAAGCCTTCCAGGGAACAAGTATTAAAGAAAATGAATACTACACATTACATCTAATCATTGGGGGTCTTATTATTGCCAGAGAATTGGAAAATGGAAAAGGCTGATTAATGCAAATCCACACGAAGGAATCCAACAATTTATAATAAATGGGAAAAGAGATTGGTTGGGACATTATCTTGATTTTTACTAAAGTTATCATTGAAATTGTATATTAATTCTTTGCATGATTAGCAAATTGTTTATTAATAGTGATTTGGTAATCAGTCTTCTGTGGTAGAATGCTTTGACAAATAGTTCTCCTGTCTCTGTTAAGTAAAGTCTGCAACAATATTCTTTTATTCTTCTGTTTTCATGAGTTTTTTTTCCTAAGATTCCTAGATGCTTAAATAAGCTATTTTTTCAGGTTATATTTTTAAACTTGATATTTCTGTGTCATGCCAAACTTCATTGTAAGACGCATACGAAATACAATATTCACAGAAAACGTAATTTTAAATGTACAACACAAAAGAGAAACAATTTTTTGAGTAAGGATTGTTGTTTGAATGTTGACTACTTCGTGAATAGAAAACTTCTGACAAATAATTTAACGTTTGGTGTGCTTTACTTTCCTATGCAACTTCAGCGCTATTAGATTTGGGATATTGGTGGTGAAAAATACTTCCTCCACTATATGAGGTATTGACTGCTATTCACATGTTCCAGTAGAGACACAGTTAAGTAGCTGTGTGTGGGTTACAGATGTGATGCAGAAACTTTTCCTTTGGTGTCCATGGATACAGTGTGGGGAGCTTTAAAATTTATGATGTGGGAAAAGTATTGTCAATACATAGTTCTGTATTTTCCTAGGAAAAGAATAGGCAGCTGTTGCTAAGTTCTTAAGGCACCTATGCCCTGAAGTTAAAAAAAATACTGTCTAAATATTTTAAATTATTTTGTACACAGGGGGCATAATTCCATTCTACTCTGCCTTAAAACATCTTTATCCAATTTTTAATTTTCTGAAATTACACATTCCGAACGTAACATTAAATTTATTAGCCTCCTCTCCAGAATTATCAATCTGTGCCAAGTACTTATCTTACTCAATACCATGAGATCTCAGTTTCATGGACAAGCAGTATTACTTCAGGAGAATGGAGAATGGTGTCGTATTAACAGCATCACCTGAGAAGGTCTTAGAATATCGCAAAAGAGGACAGTGGAGTCTCAAAGGGAATAATCTTCTAGCTAGAATAGAGTGGTTCCCATGGGCTACAAAACATTCATTTCCCTATGATTTGCAAAGTCAGATCAAATTATCACCCCTGAGGGAAACTTTTGTCATTATTATTAAAAGTGTTAAATGCCCTCTGGAAAAATATTGAGAAAAATCTGTTTTCAAATAACATATTTTAGATTGAATCAATCAATCTGACTTTAATGGTTATTCCTAGAAATTATGAATTATTTTTACAAATCTGACAATTAAATTATTTTAATACTCCCAAATCAGAGATGATATATGGTAAGCAAGAGACTATCAACTTCCAGAAGGAGATAGCATTTCATCACTTTTCTTTAGCATAAGGACTTAAAAGTTTTTGGTGACATATTGTATACAAAATACTGAACACTTGAATATTTCAGATATCACAGCTCAACCAAGAATTATACATTTTGTTATCTAAATTCCTATTCTAGTAACAAATATAAACTCTAGTTTATTATGGCATCCAAGATGTATTTGTCTTTACAACTAAATGTAACATCAGTTTCTCACACCTCCTGAAGAAATGTATACAGATCTGTCAACCAAACGTCTCCTGAAGATATTTGCTCACTTATTTTCTTTAATCATTTGATTAATAGTGGTCCCCTCTATTAATTCCCCTTGTACCTGTTCTGTGAATTTTACATGCTGCATTTCCCCCTCAACTTCACAACCATCTTTGCTTTCTCTGAATTCTTTTATTTCACAAGTTATGCTTAGATTTCAGTTCTGCACGTTCTCTATCCTTTGGTTTTGTTTTCATGTTGTCTTGTTAAGTGTCTCCTCAAGAATTAGATCATGTACTTCTCGTCTGCTCTACATTTTCTCAGGGCCCAGCAAAGTTCTGACTCTTCCCCCACCAACACTGATTCATTCATGATCATTCATTAAGATACAGTCATATGGCAGATATAGCAATATATGTGTTGATAAATTCCCAAAGTTTAGACAAGTTCAAGCATAAAAGCACGGATGAAGTACTGCACATGCAAATACTTGCATTGTACTAACTTGTAACAGAAAGGAAGACCATAGGGCACTCTAAGTTTCAAGGGAAAAAGAACTTTATCTTCCACTCACATTTGAATAAAATAAAAAGTAATTTCAGATAACAGAATTGGCAGTCTAACAATCAATATGTAGTCAATGTTTGAGAAAACCCTTATGAATAAGATAGCTATATCTCACGATGGACATGAAAACAAATTTTAATCCAAACAGATGTTTCTAGTATGGAGAGATTTTATACTTTAGTTACTAAAATTGATTATCGTATATCTTTTGAAGAGCAAAGGAAAAGTTGGTATATAGTTTATGACATCATTCAGATAATCAGATGAATGAAGCAAAATAAGATCATATGCCCTTCTTACACTATGTACGTGTGCATTTGTGTAAAACGGGTGACTGAGGGCCGTGTTCTGGAGCAAAGCCCTCACCGTGGTTCTTATCTAAAGAGGGATAGCTACATAAATGTGCAAGAAGATGTTCAGAATTAGGATCATTGAACTGATTTTCAAAAGTCAGGATTTAATTTTAGAAAATAACATTTTTAGAAATGTTTTTGTTTTATTTTGAAAAATTCTCATGTTATTACAGAGTGAGTTTCAAGTATAAGTGAAAAAATATTCATTTTATTGTAAATTTCCCGATAAGAGTCCAACCATACATAGTATGTCCATCAGACAATGGAAAGGAAATTATCACCTAATTTGTTAGTCTTGATTCTTTAAAAAAAAAAAGATGCTATAGGAGGTGACACAGAATATGGAAGTGAGCGGAGAGTGGTATATTGCAGTCTCTTTAAGGACTATAGTTCCAATAATATCATGTCATTGCTCTGCAGGTATCACTCTAGAGTCATTATTAAGTAAACGACTTTCCAGGAAAATCAAATTTAAAGAAATCTGGACTCTGTAGACAAAGGAGGAAACGGGACTGTGCTCTTCAAAAATTCTTTAACACCATGTTTTTTCTTCCCTCGGACTTGCCCATTGCTTCTAGTCATTTTCTCTCCAAGGGCAACATAATTCCTTTCAGAGAATTAAGAGAGAATTATATGGGAAACGCAGATCATGATTGCATAGCACCAACATGGAGTTTCTTCCTGGTTGATGGCGGGAGCCTGTTTGTGGCTTATAGTTCATCACCATCCTCGGAGCAGAAGCTGCTTCGACTGCTCGCTTTGGAAACTGCGGGGGAAGTGGCAGAGAGGAGAGGGTCTGTTCCAAAGGGGCACATTGTATCACTTAGTAGCATGCCGTCCAATCTTTGCTCCTCTTTCAAAGCGGCACTAAACGATAAATCTGTGAAGTGGGACAAAGGGTCAGAGAAGGCCACAGCTTGCTCGCAGAACTCCGGGCTTGTCCCCTGAGACGGAGTCAGTTGTTGGCAGCAGCCCAGAACTGAGTTCTTCTCAGGATGGATCTGCTGTTTGGTGAGGTGGGGACTGAGATCAGCCGGGCCGCGTGAAGTCAGCATTGGCAGACCGTGAGCCCGTGCTTGTATCTCCAGTTCCTGCAATTTCCAATAAAAAGTTATAAATTGTCAAATAATGCGGTGGAAAAGTTGACATGATTATTGAAATCAAACTGGAAAGAAAACAAAAAAAATAGCTAATGAACAAAATGAAGAGGTTGGCAAACTACAAACGCATTTTGCAAATAAAGAAATCTGGTGTATTTGCAATACCTAAAATTACTTAAATTAAAGAAAAAAGTCCTCACAGTGTCTGTAAACCACATGATATGTGATGGTATCATAGTGGCTCGGGCTATATAGTGCACTACACAAATTGTGAAAAGTCTTCCATTTATTCCTCCTGCTTAATCTCCTACTATAACTCAAGAGCATTTCACTAAAACAGGGTAAGTGTATGGCTTGACCATGTGCCTGTCTGCATTAAAAAGAGATACAATTATAAAGCCCATTTTTTAATATTTTGTTACACATGAATAGATAAAAGGTAAAATGTAAACTGGTAAAATATGGCTTAAGGCAATGAAATCCATAACAATGTCACTAAAGAAAGTAAAGAGGAGGGAGAAATTTAGTGTCCAAAATCATCTTAGAGAAGTAAATACTTCTCTTGGTTGTTCTGTTTCTGTTTTCCAATGTGTGACATAATATCGTGTGTGTAGCAAACGAGCATCATTTTCTGCATTTGGTAATTGGTTCTCACCCATTCCATGTCTATTTAAGTCATTTTGATCTTTGATCTCCAATTAAAACCTAATGGAAACAACCCAATTCGGAAGCTTTAAAAGGCAGTAAATTATTTTTCCAAAGGGGGGAAAGGTTGTTACTAAGCAAGCGTATAAGGGAACCCAGTGAAGAAAAGCAGTGACGAGCTAGTTATATGTTCGCTGTGCAGCTCACGGCAACCATCTCATGACAACCTGAATCCGGAGCACAAGCTGCTGGTTAGCCTGTTCTAATGTCTTCTGTCTGTGCTCTAACTCCCGGGCCCTCTGTTGTTCTTTCTGCAGCCACTTGATGTACTCCACTGATGCCTTCAGAATGGTTCCTTTGTTCCAGCGCAGATCACTGCAGAAGAGGGAGATAACCTTTTCACAATTGTGCATGTCAGCAGAATTCATAAGAACTTACAAAATCTTTTACATTAATATGAAATAATGATTTACATGACTATTATTCACTCTTAGATATTATTGCTTCTGAATAGAAATTTTAATAGAATAGTTAAGAAGCCCTTATATAGTAAAATTAATCCCAGAATGAAAATAAGTGTCAAAAGAAAGTAATAAAGTGACTTTTTGTGGGAGAGCTAAATGCAATATCATGATTCTACCATTACAGTTTTTATATTTTTAGTGAAAATTGCTTTTATTATTAACTCTAAGATTAAAATCTATGTGCAGTATTTCTGCATTAATGAACTAGCAAATGTACATTACTGACGACTTAAGCCTAAATTTTTTAAGATCATTTCAAATGTACCAATCTTTTAACTTATTTCCTAATATGGTTGCTTTTGTTTCTAAGAAAGAAAAAAGGACATTCTTCCCTGAATGGTGATCCTGAGTGGTTGTGAAACACAGCAGAGTTGGGCAACATTGCTTTATGCAACAGAGCAAGCTTCCTGAAACCATTTAATCAATTTTTCTGCACACACAATAACATCGTTATTTTTAAGGTTGGACTCAGAGCACCATTTTTAACTATTTGAATATTTTTACACATTTAAGATAATTAATAGAATCAATCATTTCTCAAATATCTTTTAAGTTTTTTCATAGAGAAATATGAAGATTGGTTTAATAAAGGAAAAATAATAATATAGAAGTATAGAAGAGTCTAATAGCAATCTTAATTTCTGAAAACATTATGGATGTAATGCTGCATGAGAACTATTAATAGCATTAGTAACAAGAGCAAACTAATTATCAAATGTTAATTAAAGTGCTTAGAAAATGATGGTGACTGAACCTGAAGTTCACTGACTCCGATTGACTGACTGGCCAAGCAAGCTCTGAGACCCTCCTGTCTCCAATTTCCAGCAGACAGATTACAGGCAAGCACATCCAAGCCAAATTTTCATGTGGGTTCTGGGATCTATACTCAGATCCTTGCGTGTGAATATCAAGTACTACTCGCTGAGTATTGCCCCTCATTCTGAAAATTATTTACACACTTAAAACAAAAATAAACATTTTCCAACAGTTGTTTTTGTTTTACTTTGTCTAAGTATTATATTGAAATTAGTCCTAGTTTGTATAATTTTGATAAGCTAGAATAAAGTTAATAAATTACTCATTACGGGTCAGGTGTAGGAATATAAAGTCTGTGAAACAGCTATTTGAACATTACTCATGGAAACAGGTTGAGTGGCCCTGTCATTAGCAGCAACAAATGAAGGAAAGATACATCTTCATCCATGCTGCAGGAAGGGTTAAAGACATTTGAATGGCCAACCATCTACTGAAATGTACCAAACCACCTCCAGGTTTGCTCATTTTAAATGTTACCTACTCAGTTTTCTAGGGCCACCATGACTGCTAAGAGCAATCCTATTCCCAGGGATTTATCTCATGGTAACTATGGAAAGACAAGTCGTTTCTGTTGTTGAACTAAGAGGTAACCGTAACTGAGAAATACTGTGTTCTCCTGAATCGGAACTCTTAAGTAGTAGCAGGAACTCTATGGAACCTTATTTTTGTTTCATTTTCCCCCTAGGGGGAAGGGCATATGAAAGAGGAAGAATAAGAAGCAAAGGACGTGGCCCACACCCATGCACATATGATCAACAGTAAGTGGATCTAGTTGGATAAATAAAATGTATATCTATAATATATAAATGTATGTATGTACATGTATATTTGACATAAAGTTGGAAGGTGTGTTTTTGGGAGATATGGAAGTGTTGGAGAAAGAAGTAAGTGAGGGATATGTTCAAATTTCTTTGTATACATGCATAAAATTTCCAAACATAATGGAAAAATCAAAAGCAAAGTACAATTACAGTCAAATCTAAACACAAAAGCAGATTTAAATCTAAAATAAATCTACAAAATCTAAAATAAATCTACAAAATAGAGAGGGAGAACCCAGTACTCTTTTGATTGTAACTGATGTCATTTGACAGTTCCTAGAGTCAAACAGTTGTTGCTGCATCTGTTAATATTTGAGTAGATAAGGCTTTACTCTTTGAATGCTTAAAAATGTTCATATATATATATATTCATGTACATGGGAATATATGGTTCTCTCTTATAAGATAATCTCAAATATTGTAGAATGTTATCATAGAAATGAAGAATGTAAAGGCAGGGCTAAACAAAGAAGGGAGACATTGTCATTTTATTTTCCATAAGGCAATTATCCTTGCAGACCTTAATATTTTTGGGAGAAGACCTAAAAACCTGAAGGTAGGGTCAAGACAATAAGGCCTGAGGTGTAAATTAGCGTAAGATTTCCCTCAGGTAAAGCTGCAGAAAATGCGTATCAGCTGTCACCTTGTGTGTGACATCCACTTTAAAACAGCAGAATTTTAAAGATTTAATTTATTTATTATGCATACACCATTCAGCATCCATGTATGCCTGCAAGCCAGAAGAGGGCGCCAGATCTCACTATAGATGGCTATGAGCCACCACGTGGTTGCTGGGAATTGCTCAGGACCTCTGGAAGAAATTGCTCAATGCCCTCTTCCTCTGAGTCATCTATCTAGTCCCAAGCATCAGAATTTTATAACCAAGAATTGCAGAAAACACCAGGACAACTCTGATTTGTATTTTTTCTCAAATTATTTTTCTCAGCCCTAGTTTGTCTGTATAATTTTCTCTTTTAACTCCATGATTTTGATCTGCAAAGAAATAAAGTTGTTTGAATGTTTTGATATATAAAAATGACAATGCCATTGAGTTCGGCATCTTCATAGTAGCTCTGGCCTCATTCCCCAGAGTTTCATTTAGAGAGCTGGAAAAGTCCTCAGCAGGAGTAGCTCCACCATTCCTATGCCCAGGAACATGAGACATTTAGGTGAGTTCCAGGTCTCTTTGCTAAGCCTTACTGATCTTCTGTAAACATGTGGCTTCCTCCTCTTTTAGTTAGTTTGTTTGTTTCTTGAAACAAAGTTCATCACGTGACTTGAGATTTACTAAAAGTAACTATGTAGCCAAAATTGGCCTTGGTCTCAGTAATCCTCCTACCTCTGCCGTTTTAGTAGTAGAATTAAGATGTGAGCTACCACACCCAGCTATTTTCTTGAACTAAAAAACTAATAATAATTTCTCATCTTAATGGTTATCATCTATGTAACAGATTCGACTGAGAGTTATTTATTCAAACTGACAGTCTCTTGATAGTGCGTTGTTTTCCAATTGAGCTTTTAGTTAGTTGAATGATTGCCATAACTTAGTAATGCTATTTCTTACGTTTCTTCAAATGGAATCCTGTCTTCTCTGTATTTCCCTTACAATCTTTTCCTAGTGTTTTTCCTGAAGCTTTTAAAGGATCCGTATCAGCATTTAAAATTTAACCAATCAGTCCAAATTGTTTCATAGACTAGTCGTTCCTGGGGTCTTTGGACCCAGCGTCTACTCTAGTAAAATCCTTTTCAAGATGCTAGATTCTAGATTCAACCTTGGCATCCTCACTGCTGAACCCCAAAGAATACTGAAGTCACTGGTGAGGTCTCAGTAAGGCAGGAAAAGAAACATCCTAAAGCAAAATGTAGTGCTCAGGTGTTTGAATGACATGCTAGAAGTCTTATATAGATATATAGATATATTCATCATTCAGTATGTTCACAGGAAGATCTTAATGTTATTTGTCAACAGATAGCATTATGAAAAATGAGAGTCGGGAGGACTGATGATCATAATGAAGAAAAAGATACTTAAGAATGCATAGAGTGAAGGTTTCTCAACTATCTTCCCTTTTATCTAAGTCTGTGGGAAACAGATTTTGCATATTGTAGGCTAGAATGAGACAAACAATAGCCACAGATAGTTTTGGTCAATAGTTTCTGTGGCTGTAATCATTCTCACTCATTTATATGTGGTTTTTGTCTGGCTTGGGGACAATAATGGCAGAGTTAAATCACTGCACTACAACCTACGTAAAACATAAGGCTTGATATATCTGCTGGAAAAGCTTGTCATGTGCTATACAATGAGTTAAACTAGAAAGAATTAGTTTATCTAAACAACTATAATATGTTAAAGATTACAATACTTCAATCTTTATAATGTATTCTCATATACCTTACTGACATTTTTATAAAAACAATTATAAAGGAAAGGCAATTGGACACTACAGTTTACAGATTTATATTTTTAAATTTTTTACATGGGGGGGAGAGTTGGCTCAAAGGCACTTGTTATTGCAGAGGACCCAAGGCCAATTCTCGACACCCACATAGTAGTTGACAAATGCCTAAAACTCTATTATCAGGGGTTCCAATGCCTCCTACTGTCCTCTGTGGCATTAGACATGTACATGGTCCATATATGTACACACAGGAGAAATACTCATACATGCATGTATTTTATTCATAAATGTATTTATATTCATACCTATAACAAAATAAATAAATCTAGAAATAAATAAGCTTATTTGTGTGTCTGTCTGTGTGAATGAATGCAGTGTGTGTCCAAGTGTCTACAAGTGCCGGAAGATGCTGGATGCCTTGATGGTTAGTGACAGGCAGCTATGAGCTGACCAACATAGGTGCTGGAAACGGAACTCAGTTGCTCTGGAAGAGCAGCAACCATTCTCAGCCAGACTCAGGTGGATAACAAGGAGAGTTCTTTAGCAGGTTTGAATGACTATCTCTAGAATGCAAGCTTGGTCTGAGCGCTTCAGTTCTCTCTGCTGGGTTAGCTCCTTCGGCCACGCTCCCCTTGAAGCCTGTGCTTTCCAGTGTGCTAATGAAGATAAATATCTCACTCATTTCTAACATGAGTTATTTTATTGTCCAGATTAGTTATAACATTTAGGTTTACGGAAAGACTATTTCATTTCTCCCAAGCATCACTTTCTCAAACATTCTCCTTTCTCGATGGAGAAATTGTTGGTATTTGGGGAGATCATATTTGAATCGTCATTCAAGCTACAGATCATGACTTCGATTTTTGTACAAATGCTCTGCTTTCAAAATTAAAATTTTGATTAGTTGTTTCTTGATACTTACAATCTCAAACACTATATATTTGCTTTTTGTTTGCCACCAAAATCTGGCTGGCATTAGTCCTCAGTGTTTTACAGTTCTCCTGTAGCATGCCTGTCTCTAGAGCCGGGACGTATTTGACATTGTGACAAGTTAATTTTAATGTTCATATAAATCTTAAGTTGGAAGCAATGCTATTATCATAAGTTGAATATCTCAGTCATTACCATAAACAGCTTCCGACACTGCCATTAAATTACCAATACTGTTAGTATGCAGAGAGCCACTGTGAACCGAGGGCAACTCACACACTTATTTTGACTACCAGAAGGACGAGGCCAGGGAATGTCTTGATGCTGAAATAGATATTTCAAAGGGAGACCAGAAGAAGACTTATCTTTGCTGTAAGATGCTTTGTTTCCTGGTCATTGGATCTGTCCTCCCTTTTCCCACCCACCCATTTGTGGGACACTGAAACTACAACATTATTGCACAAATGATTTTGAACTCACGGATCATTAGACTTTGGAATAAGAGTGCCAAGCTCCTTGATGCGGTAATTAATATTATACCTTCTTCTTCTTTCAACTATTAAGAAAGAAATATTATTGATTATTCTCATTAAAACACAGTTCACTGTTGGTCAGCTGTAAATTTAATAATCTTTAAAAAATAGTAAAGAAGATATTCCCAGTTAGTCAAAGGACAGTTTTAAATAATAAGATAAAAATTCAAATATGTCTTATACCAGCAAGAAAATTTATAATAATAGAATTGTGAATGTATACTTAATAACATGATAAAATATTTTGCCCCAAAATGCTTTTATTTTTTGAATTCACTCTTACTATCATGTACATTTATTCATATACATGCATATGCTTATCCTGCTTGGTTGATACCTCACTCATACACACACTGGCAGAGTATTAGTGCAATCTTTCAGGGTCATTCACCATGCTTTACCCTTCTCATATACTCTTCTCAATGTTTAGTATATTGCAAATATATGTGATAAGTTAACAATAACTGCATCTCTTGGGATGGAGAGTTGGCTTGGTGAGGAAAAGCATTTGTTATTGCCAAGAACCCAGGTTTGATTCCCAGTACCCACATGGAAGTTCACCATCTCCTTGGGTATCAGGCATAGATGTGGTGCAAAACACTCATACACACAAAATAATGAGAAAATAAATCTAAATAAATAAATAAAAATAAAACTTTTAAAAAGCCAGATGGTGGAAGCATACACCTTTAATCTCAGCACTTAGGAGGCAGAGACAGGCATATCGCTATGAGTTCAAGGACAGGCTGGTCTATGGAGATCCAAGACAGACAAGGCTACACAGAAAAACCCTGTTCTGAAAAACTAAACAAGAAAATAAAGGAAAAGATATATATATA